ATATTTGTAAAAAACTATATGTCTTTTAATTTATTTAAAATTTTGATTTTCTTCTATGGTTATATTTTTTACCCGAGTGAATACTTTGGAATAGATTTGGATCATTTATTAAAATGTCATGAAATTTCTCACATGAAATGGTCAAATTATATTTCACACTTAATACAGATTTTAAAGTTTTAATGTTCAACTGCATTTTTTCAATTGTCCCTATTTTATTGATACTAGAAAAAACACATTCAGTTGCTGCATTTGTTCCTGGAAGGGAGAGCACGTGTTCTACAATTTTCCAAATATTTTCATAAAGAATATTATTCTGTTTAAAATGAAGGGTTAACTCTGTCCCCCCCTTTTTTTTTGACTGGTTTCCATTTGCTGACAACCAAGATTTAATTTTTTCTTCAGTAACGTATCTTTTTACTAATGACACCTCATCAAAAAGATTTTTTCGCAAATATTATTTTTCGGAAAATGGTTACTAATATATTAAAAAGATTTTTCTACATATTCCCATAAAATCTCTTTTTTTTTTAATGTCACCCAATGAAAACTTTTAATATCCTCGAATAGAATTGTGCGTTCTTCAAGATATTCCAAGCAGTTATTATAAAAATTTCTGACTTCTTTCAGAAAATCAGGTCGTTTAATGGCACCTTGTTCTTTCAACCTAGTGATGTCCTTTCGAATAACTAAAGGAATGTAATCGTTATCAATTCTTTCTCACAATTTTGTTTTTAAATTATTGACACTTCCGCAATTGAAATTTTGTTCCCTTCAATAATTTTCAGAGCATTGTGAAATAATGTAGCTTGGTTGTGGATGAACTGAAGCCAAATATGTGATGCATCATTTTCAAAAAAGAGCTGCAATATTCTTGGACATTTATCTTGCAATTAAAAAGTATGATTTTAATCATTCGTATATTTTAAAAATATTTTCCACAGCTGGTAAAAGAGCTAGCCATAGTGTTTTGCTGTAACCAATAATTCTTTTATATTTGGCTCACCAGCGGCCGAGCGGTAAAGTCCCTGAACACTGGTAGTTCGGTCCGAGGTTTGAATCCTGCGAACGGGCTGGCTGCATGGGTGTTTTCGTGATTTTCCCCATGTGTAACGAGTATACGAGCCAGTTTCCCTTAGAAAGTCCTGCATGAAGGCATCCCTCCCCTTAGGCAGATAGCCCTCGAGGCTTTGCCGTAATTAAATAACCTAACCTAACCTAATCTTTTATATTCAATTTCTGTGCTTTTACAAAAGTCCTTCAAAATTTCAACACACACAGTATATACATATAAAAATACGAATACCTTTTTGCAAAAATATTTTAAAGATCCACTGGAAGTAAGTCAGATGCTGTTTGAATAGTAATGTGTAGTGCCTGGTTCTCCGAAACTGTAACCCTGAAAAGAGTGAGCACCCTCTGGCGGAAAAAAAAGGGTAAGTGAGAGACTGGCTTTCGGTGGAGGAGGCCGAATGCTCAGTATGTTCAGTGTGGTAATCTTATAAATCTAACAATTCTATTATCTGATATATTTCAATTTGTACAAAGTGTATATAGTTTACAATGAGTGTGTGAATAAATTAGTAAGATAAATCAGAGTCTATTAATTACGGGTAACAAAGCAACACCGGCCATGGCTCGATCTTACATGTAGAATGTGCGCTGTACAACCTACTCCAATAATGTTTTGGTTCAAATGTTCGTTAAGTTTTGTAAAAACGTAATTGATGCCTCTTCTATCTTTTCCACCAAAATTTGCATTAGTTTTATCCTCACAATAGGCAATAACATTATAGTTCAAATTATTCTTTTTTAAAACAAAACTTACTGAATCAAAAATTATTTGTCAAGTTTCACTCGGCAATGAAACAAAATCAAATATTTTAATTTAAATTCCTGTTTCTGGACAAAAAATTCTAACAATTGTGGGAAATAATTTTAAATCTTTGTGGTTGAAAGCATCATAATATATGGATAAAAATGTGCATTTATCTAATTCTTTCTGCAATTGTGAAAACGAATATAGTGAAAAAACATTACAAATACAAATAATCGCTTCAGTTTTTGTCCTTGCACATGCAAATTTTTTGTCGTACAATGTTTTGATCATTTGTGACATACAATCAATTGATCTGAAACTCTGATTGTGGTTTATGGTGTGGAAAGCAAATAGCCCTTCAACTAATGATAGCTGTTTCTCTGTTAACAATACATATTCCTTGACGAGATGTAACGACAATGATCAAACACCACCGAGTAAATCTAACTCGTTACATCACCTAATTTAGTTTGCATGCATTTTATGTGTTTTTTATATTTATGTATTTTTTATTTCTGTATATTTACTATAATAATTAATAAATAATAGGTAATATTTTTTTACAGTACATCTAAAATAAGAGATCCAAATGTTTTCTAAAAAGCGGGACATTTTAAAAAAACGGCAGGACAGTCTTAAAAAAAGCGGGACTGTCCCACCAAAATCAGGACGTGTGGTCACTTTACTCTAGTGTAGAATTAGGTGCCCCTTCGATTGGTGAGAAATTTTGTTCAGTTTAATTATGAAACCCTATTTCTGGTTACATGATAGTTTTTACTTGGTTTTAGCTTCCTGATTTTTTTTTTTTTTTTTTATAATGTGAAAATAGATTGATGTGTATATGGATACTGAGCTTGCGCAATTCTTTGACTTGTTATTTTGGTTTTGTGTAGCGGCCATCTTGAAATTATGCCTTCCTGGCACCAATCTCGGCGTCAAAAAATAACAGCTAAAAAACAAGACGCACCCTATTGTAAACTTTTAACCATTTAAAGGAACACCTGTTCATACAAGGAACTAACACCATTCAAATTTTATCAATAATTAAATATGGTGGATACGAGAAAACGGTTAGAATAATTAACAAATTAAACACAGAACTCAAATTTGCAGTCACCAAATAACTGATAAATATTTATTGGGCTGATCTTTGGAATATGGTAACAGGTAGTTTGGCGACATTTTGGAGGCGATAAAGGTTACTACCTTGGACTTTGGGAATAATGTGAGAAGTTTTCAGTTCCGATTACGCATTATTGTGTGAGGAACTGAAAGATCATGAGATATGTCATGTGACATTAATGATGACAATCACTGTTCTTTAATCGGAAAAGGGGGTATATTGTAAAAATATCTGCTGTACTTTATAGTAGTTTCATTCTATGTTCTGTGAAACAGTGTTGTTTAATATTTAGATCCCATGGCCGTATATAAAGTAAATCCGAAATTTTTATTATGTTTATGTGTAATTGAAAAGAATTGCGGATAAGTATGAATGTCCAATATGTGGGAATGAAATGAGATTGTGTGAAAGGAAGGATATTACAGATAGTTTGAATGGCGGTGCAAGAAACCTGGTGAAAATGGACTTTTGTATCCGCCATGCACTCAAGATTCTGTAGAAGATTAGGTAAGTTAGTATTTTTAATTATTTGAGGATATTTTTTATGCATTGTTCTAAATGTAGGAGTAAATAAATTAATATGGTATTATTGAAATTGTTATTAGCACTGATTTAGTTTAAGTAATTAGAATTGAAAGCTAATTTTGATTAATTTAATGTATGGCTTATTTATATTTTAAGTAGTGTTTTTTAATTTAATGATCGTGATTTTGAGAGTTATATGTTTGTAGTATTTTGGAATACGTTTGAGTAGTAACGCATGGAAAGAATTTTAAGTATTTGACACTAATATTTGTAATCATTTTTAATGTTTTTGTTATAAATTCGTTGGTGACATTTATAATAGATATTTAGAGATAAAGTTTTTGGATATTTTATTTATTTTAATACGTGCAAATGTCCAACCTTGGAAAGGGTATATACTTTTCGCGATCAGGTATTTCATATATGGCTTTTTACCAAGTTTAAAGATTAAGAAAATTTTCCTGCATTTTCGTGCAAATTTTTGTAGTTTATGAGAAAATAGCAGTGTAGATGGATAAAGTTAAGAGTGTGTGCAATGCCATTTTTGTGCAATTCTGGGATGTTTTTTTAAGTAAAAATAAGTCGACGTGTAAATGGTTTATGTGTATGTGCTATTCTGAAAAACGCGCAAGGAGTTTGCAATTGTGCACTTTTTCCCAATTTTGCAGTTAATATTTGTCATGATTAAGCAGTTAAAATTTCTAGCATAAGTGTAATTCGGCTAGTAGATTGTTGGAAAAAGTGTTGAGTAAATAAAAAGAAAAGAAACATGTCTTTACTTCATGAAGACAAAATGGTGGCGGGGAAAAAATAGAGGGTTGCTGTAGCAGAGTTGGTCGCCAAAAAATCGCCAAGTTACCATAATCCAAAGATCAACCATTTATTTTTCTGAATTTATTATATTCAAGTAGTGCACATTTTGCCTAATAATACATCAGGCAGGAATTTTCCCTGTGAATTCTTTTAACAAATATAAAACAGCTACATATTACTTCAGAACTTTTAAAAATTATATTACTATAAATTTCTAAAAATGAATTCATTCAAAATAATCCCAGTTCATTAATTACTAGCGTTAGCGCATTACTCGAGGAACATTTTCTTTTACTTTTTTAAGGAAGATTTTAAAAAGTATGGAGGTCAAATGAACTCAAATCAATACAGGCGATTACCGCCTACATCCTTAAACACGGCTATTTACGATACTTCTATGCAATATATTCGATGCATATATTTACTTGATTTCTTTTTGAAAACTGTTACTTCTAATTCAAATAATATATAAAACAGAACAGGAAAGGTTCAAATATACGTTATTTACGTATATTTGAATTATTTATTTTACGTTCTATAAATTTTATTACTCAAGTCTGTCGACACAAATCATATTCAAAATTGTTTTTAGTGGTCAATTATGAATTTATAATTGCGCAATAATAATATTTCCGTGATTCATTAATTCTGAATTTACTTCTGATTGGAGATTTTCGTGTCAAAGAAGTCCACTTGACGAACGAGGATAATAATAATTACCAAATCCTGAACTTCTTTGGTTTAATTGTTCGGCAAGTTCCGCCACTTTTTTCCAATTAGATTCATCTCTGCTCCTTGAAATTTCATATTCGATCCGACTTGAGGCTTTAGGTTTCGAAGTCATGATTTCAAAATAAAAACATCGAGTCACACATTTAGAGCATACATCAGTTTTGATGTTGATTTTTCCTACTTCCTTTACATTACGATTGTAAGGAAATTGCCATATCCTTGGTTTGTTATTTCAAGAAAACAGGATATCACTTCATTTTTTTGTTTCAATTATCTAGTGATATTTGATAATTTTTAATAAAGAAAGTCTAAATAAAGAAAAATGTTAAAACAATTTCTTTGACACTCCATACAGTTCATCTTTAAAATGTCAAGACTTTTTGCATATTTTCTGATTTAACGTAAGGAGGAATAGAAAGAAAAAAATGAACATTAAAAGGACACGTAAATTATTTATTAATGTTTATCCACGTGTTTTTGTAATTTCGTTTAAGCGGGTATATTCTTCGAGATTTTTCCGAAATAGGAAATAAATATGAGTATGAATTATACAACTCAACTCTACGAATTTCATCTTTACAATGTGGGCACTTGTTTATACACAAGAATAAAATTTGAGTTATTTAGAGGAAAAAATTAAAGTAAGTATGAATATACATATAAAAATAATTTTTTCTTTTCCTATATATATCTGTAAATTAGAAAACAATTCGGAAAATTACATTCTTTTGTAATGACAAATAGTGTATGAATTTTTGCTTATTTAAAGTAATATTTTCTTGGCGTTTGCTATGAATTTATTTGCTTTGTTATAATTATGCGGTAAGTAGAACTTCGCCTTTATTTCCCAGATGTAAATAAAAACTTCATTCAAATATTCTTTGGTTGATTATATTTTTTATTGCACGAGTAAAATTTCTGCAATCATGGGTAACATAGTTGCCAACTGTGTACGATTTGAATGTGGAAAAGTACAATTTATGAGAGACAAGAAATCAGGGAAGATTTGGATTCTTCCTTTCTGATTAAGAAGCGCTTGGCAAAGGGAACAACGGTTATGACTAATGAAAGGCGGGCATTCTCATTCTTATTCAGGTATGGGTATTATGTGCATCAGATCGATAATCACTCTACAAATTTTTTTAATCCGGCAACTGGGGCATATACCCAGTCCAAATAATAGAAGAGTTGATAACCGAAAGTAAAAGCAACAACAACAAAAAAAAGAAAAAAAAAAAGGGAGTGATCTTCACAAGAAAAATCAAGCAGAGTACATCCTTGTATACCTGTTTGGGCATGAAGTTAAATATAACGGTAGTAATCATTCACGGAAATTTTAAACGTAATTAAAGATTATATTCTTTAAGGATAATACGTCTCTGGCAATTTAGTTAATTGCATAGGTTTTTGAAAGAAAGGGACGTCCTTTTTCAGAGCCATAAAAGCCTGAAAAAAGAAATGAAGTATTGCTAGATATAAGTATACAAGTTTTGGTTGATCTTTACAATATGGTAACTGGTAGTTTGGCGACATTTTGGAGGCGATAAAGGTTACTACCTGGGACTTTGGTAATAAAGTGAGCAGTACTCAGTTCCGATTACGCATTATTTTGTGTGAGGGAAATGAGAGATCATGGGATATGTTATGTGATATTAATGGACGAATTACGGTTCTTTAATCAGGAAAAAATCTGGAAATTTTGTATTTGGCTTTATTCTGTGTTGTGTGAAACAGTGTTCGTGAATTTTTGGATCCCATGGCCGTCAACTAAAGTGAATTCGAAATGGGTATTTATGTATGTATTAATTTAATGTATGTGCTCATTTTATTTTTAAGTAGTGTTTTTGAATTTAATTATATTTAAATTAAATGATAGTTATTTTGTGAATTTTATGTTTGTAGAATTTGGTATACGTTTTAGTTGAAATAAACGTGCATGGAATAATTTAAATATTTGATGCTAAGTATTTGTAATACTTGCGGTATGAATTCGTTGGTGACGTGTATAATGTAATAGATGATTTTCGAGGTAAAAGTTTTTGGATATTTTATTTATTTTATATGTGAAATGTTCATATTTGTAAAGGGTAAATACTTTTTTCGCGATCAGGTAATTTCATATATGTTCTTTTTACCAGGTTTAAAGATTGAGAAAATTGTCATGTATTTTCGTGAAATTTTTCTAATTTATGAGAAAAAAGCAGTGTACATGGATATAGTGAAGAGTGTGAGCAATGCCATTTTTGTGCAATTCTGGGATGTTTTTTTAAGTAAAAATAAGTCAATGTGTATATGGTTTAGTGATATTTTAATTAAATGATAGTTATTTTGTGAATTTTATGTTTGTAGAAATTTGGTAGACGTTTAAGTTGAAATAAACGTGCATGGAAATAATTTAAATATTTGATACTAAGTATTTGTAATGCTTGCGGTATGAATTCGTTGGTGACGTGTATAATGTAATAGATGATTTAGAGGTAAAAGTTTTTGGATATTTTATTTATTTATATGTGGAAATGTTCATATTTGTAAAGGGTAAATACTTTTTCGCGATCAGGTAATTCATATATGTTCTTTTAACCGGGTTTAAAGATTGAGAAAATTTTCTTGTATTTTCGTGAAATTTTTCTAATTTATGAGAAAAAGCAGTGTACATGGATATAGTGAAGAGTGTGCGCAATGCCATTTTTGTGCATTCTGGGATTTTTTTTTAAGTAAAAATAAGTCGGCGTGTACATGGTTTATGTGTATGTGTCATTTTGAAAAACGCGTTAGGAGTATGGTATTGTGCACTTTTCCCAATTTTGCAGTGAATATTTGTCATGATTAAGCAGTTTTGTTTGATAAAATTTCTAGCATAAGTGTAATTCGGCTAGTAGATTGTTGAAGAAGTGTTCAGTAGATAAGAAGAAACGAAACATGTCTTTACTTCGTGAAGACAAAATGGCGGCCGGGAAAAAAAATAGAGGGTTGCTGTAGGAGAGTTGGTTGCCAAATTTTCGCCAAAAAATCGCCAAGTTACCATAATGTAAAGATCAACCGTTCTTTTTAACCGGGTTTAAAGATTGAGAAAATTGTCATGTATTTTCGTGAAATTTTTGTAATTTATGAGAAAAAAGCAGTGTACATGGATATAGTGAAGAGTGTGCGCAATGCCATTTTTGTGCAATTTTGGGATGTTTTTTTAAGTAAAATAAGTCGGCGTGTACATGGTTTATGTGTATGTGTTATTTTTGAAAAACGCATAAGGAGTATGGTATTGTGCACTTTTCCCAATTTTGCAGTGAATATTTGTCATGATTAAGCAGTTTTGTTAGATAAAATTTCTAGCATAAGTGTAATTCGGCTAGTAGATTGTTGGAAGAAGTGTTCAGTAGATAAAAAGAAAAGAAACATGTCTTTACTTCGTGAAGACAAAATGGCGGCGGGAAAAGAAAATAGAGGGTTGCTGTAGGAGAGTTGGTCGCCAAATTTTCGCCAAAAAAACGCCTAGTTACCATAATGTAAAGATCAACCCAAGTTTTTTAGAACTGTTTTATAATAATAGAATTAGAAATATATTTCAATAATAATTCTACCATTTACTTTACATTTTTAGGCTAATCTTTACTCACTTGTACTTAACATCATGCTTTTCTACTAGCCTGAATTTAATTAGATTGAATAGCTTGTTTTACCAGGTAAACTTACATATGCTTAAAATCATGCAATGCACTAAATATTATGTTTAAAATGCTAAATTTGGTTTATATACTATGCTTCACGTGATGTTTTCTTTGAAAACTTGCCTGTATATCCCTAAAACCATTACTGTTAGAGGTATTGGCAACAAGAAACTGGCAAAAACAGGGTCATGTTGGATAAAAATTCGGTCTCTACTCTTATACGCACAATAAGATCACCAAATGTGGCGATATGTGTTCTGCGCTGGTTTTTGGCACAATTCCGTGCTGTGAGATGGTTTGGTGGACAATGCTTTTTGTATGGCAACCCTTTTGACGTTGAAACTTAACTCTTTTGCTGCATGTAATTAATTGCTCATTGGTTCGTGTCATGCGTGTTTTGAAATGGCCTATGTTGCAATGATAGACGTGGTGGCAAGATTTCAGTCGCATATTTTAGATTGTGTGGAAAGTAAATTTAGTATTAAAATGTACGGTTAATCTTTGGATTATGGTAACCTGGCGAAATTTTGGCGACCAACCCTGTTACAGCAACCTGCTATTTTTTTTTTTTTTTTTTTTTTTTTTTTTTGGGACGTCATTTTTGTTTTCACGAAGTAAAGGCATTTTTTTTTTTTTTTTTTTTTTTTTTACGCAATTTTTTTTTTTTTACGCAACTTTTTTCCCAGCGGTCTGCTAGCCGAATTACACTTATGCTAAAGTGCTTAATCATGACGAAGATTAGGTTCGAAATTATTTCTAAGTTCTTATTAGCTAAAATCACGATTGGAATTTTCTGGAAAGTAGTAGAACAAACTTGCACAGAAATTTATTTTTACAGGGCAAATTTATATATGAAACATGTAAATAATTTTTCTCATAAATTAGAAAAATTTGCACGAAAATGCAGGAAAATTTTGTGAATCTTTAAAGTTGGTAAAAAGGACATGTATGGAATTACCTGATCACGAAAAAGTGTATATCTTTTCCAAGGATGAACATTTGCACGTATACAATAAATAAAATATCCAAGAAATTTTCCCTCTAAATTATTCATTATAAAGGTCACCTGCGAATTTATAAGGCAAACATTAAAAATGCTTGCAAATACTTAGTGCCAAATATTTAGCTTATTTCCATGCAGGTTTACTTCTACTGAAATGTATTCCAAAATGCTACAAACACATAATCCACAAAATCACTGTCATTTAATTAAAATATAATTAAATTAAAAAACATTAGTTGCTTATATTTAGAACAATGCATAAAAATAATCTCTTCAAATCATTAAAAATACTAATTTACCTAATCTTCTTCAGAATCTTGAGTGCATGGCGGATAAACTTTTCATGATGAAGATTATGTGCGAAATTGGGAGAAAGTGTAGAATCGCCCACTGCTTGCCGCGTTTTTAAAAATTGCACATACACGATATCATCCGTGTACAAGTCAACCTATTTTCACTTAAAAAAAATCTCAGAATTGCACAAAAATGGCATCACGCACACTCTTGACTTTATTCATGTACACTGCTAAAGAAACTTTTCACGACGAAGATTATGTGCGAAATTGGGAGAAAGTGCAGAATCGCCCACTGCTTGCCACGTTTTTAAGAATTGCACATATACATAGTATCATCCATGTACTCGTTGACCTATTTTCAATTTAAAAAAAATCCCAGATTGCACACACTCTTGACTTTATCCATGTACACTGCTAAAGTCCTAGCTAGTAACCTTTATCGCCTTACCAAAATGTTGCCAAACTACCTGTTACCATATTCCAAAGATTAGCCAAAGGTACAATGTTGGAAATGTTAACGAGTCTTTTGTTCACGGGTGTGTTAATGAGGATCGAAGTGTATTTTTGGAATTTCTCTGTTACTTTTAAAATGTAATCTGAAATGTGGAGCTGGTATGAGAACTCGAACGAAGAAGGGCATTTCTGATAGTTCTTGTGTGGTCACCCCCCCCCTTCCG